CCGATTCTGTTTAGGCCAATGTGATAGTCAGCAACATGTCTGCCGGCATGCTGGAGAAAGAGCCCACCCTGCTGTGATTTCAGAATGCCACTCAGGTCCAACTCAGGTTTGAGGGCAATCAGTTACGACAGCACGACCGAGTTGGTGGTTTTTGAAGGCACAATGATTGCTCACCAGTATGTGGACAGGGTGATCCATCCAGTAGTCATACCTTTCATGAACACCAACAAAATAATGCCTGTCCTCATGCTGATGCCATTACATGACAGGCCTTGCAAAGTGTCATAATCATGGATTGGCCCTATAGAGCATGTCTGGGATGCCATGTGTAGACGGATTACGTCTCATAGCCATCCAGCCAGCACTGTACAGCAACTGATTGCACAAGGTGTGCAGGCATGGAGAGATATACCCCAACAAGACATTCAAGCACTTATTGTTTCAATGCCTGCAAGGATCCAAGAGTGTATTCCATGCTCAAGGTGGCCATACCTCTTACAGAAACATGTACCAAACAGCAATAAAACTTTGCATAATTCATTTCATTTTGTGTTCATTTCTTCTGGGTATGACCTTGTGAATTTCTATCAATTCCATCTGGGTGTAACACTCAATTTCTGCCAGTGTATATAAGATAAAATCTTTGTACATCAGAATAAACTTTTGTTACAGACTATTATTATGAACACAACTGTTTTTTGAAATTTTTTAAATTTTAGGTTAAAAACCTAAAAAATTACTTATAGCTAGATTTTAAATATAATTTAATACATTTTGGTAAATTTTTATATTAAAATGATTACTAGTTTAAAAGTTATTTTAATTTTGGACTGTAACAAAATTATAAACAGAGACTTAAATTATTATACATTTTTAGTCATTTTATGTTGCTCTTCTTATTATTAACAATAGAAGGCAATAATAGTTTTGAAATCAAATACAGTGGTAATTTAAACAGCGTTTAGAAATTTTGAAAGGATTTTAAACAATGTCTCGTGGTTGCAGTCTAACAGAACAACAAATTCGTGAAATCCATTTACTACATGGATCTGGCAAATCATTAAGACAAGTAGTAGCTAGTGTAAATCGTTCTACATCTGCTGTAAGGCATGCTTTACAGCAAAAAGAATGTTATGAAAAAAGTAAACGATCTGGTAGGCCTAAAAGTGTGACTGACAGACATAGATGCCAAGTATTTAAATTAATAACAAACAAAAACATGTCCTCAAGAGAAGTTGCAGATACCTCTAACAATCAAAGTATTGTACATGACTAATTAGTTTGTTTGGAGAACCCTAAATAATAAACTTCCTAAAAATGAAACAACTAAAATTACCCAAACAGAATCACAAGTGTAGAACATTTCTGATTACAAAACTCTGCACATTGAAGGATATGTGCGGAACATTTTAACAAGGGTAGAAGAGAATATAGTAGTAAAGGCCATAAGTTAGAAAGATTTGAGGTAGGACAAAAGGTGTGGTTGAGAAAAGGGGGCATGAAGAAGAGTAAATTTGCTGAGAATTACAAAGGGTTGTTCCACATTATTAAAAATTGTAAACCCTATGACATATTGCATAGAAGTGTGTAGTTTAAAGATAAAGAAACTGTTCATGTGGATTGATTAAAGATCATCTATGGTCACCTTGAATTGAGAAATGGCAGAAAGAGAAGACCAAATAGGCATAGGAGAGAACTGAAGGATCCTGAGATGGAAGAGGAGGAGGAAGTCCAAGGAAATAGGTAGGTTAGACAACCTGGGGGCAATAGTGGGAAAACAGATGGTGTTGATTATGTTAGTCCAGGCAAGGATGGTGAGGGAGAGGGTGTGCACAGTGGACTGTACAACCTTTGCCACTGCCAAATTGACTTCTGTTGCTTGCACAACGGTAGTTAACATCTTCCGAGGGGAGATATTACGGGACATTCTACATAGTATAACAGTGTAAATGTACTAAAATTGGAAAATATGGAAGCATGGAAGGGACTAACTGAAGAAAAAATTAAAAAATTAGTAAACTCAATGCCAGATAGAATATTTCAACTAATTTCATCAAAAGGTGGGATTTCAAAATATTAAAACAATTTTAATTGTTATTTATTAATACTGTGTTTATAATTTTGTTACAGTCAAAATCTAAAAAAATTGTATAAATGATGTACTTATAAAACTTTAATTAATAAATGAAATCATCTTATAAAAATTTTATTGTTAAGTAATAAATTAAATTTAAATTAAGAAAAAAAACAGGGGTGTTTATACTTTTGTTACAGATGGTACACATTAAAATATAAAAAAAACTATGGTATAAGTTCTGACCTAACAACATTAGATTCATAAAGAATTAAATTATAAAAATTGAAAGCATTTTTTAAGCTCATACAAGCAATAATTTTTACTGAAACTTTTAATAGACAGCAGCAAAAATAAAACACTAAATCCATTTCTTCATATTAAGATTTATTCCAACATACATGGATTTCAGAAATATCTTTTTTTCATTTAATTTTAATGATGGAAAGAATGAAGCACATGAGTACAGTAAAACCTTAATTTAGTGGACTAATTTGGGTGAAAAGGATGTCTGTTCAAGCTGAAAGTCTATTATATAATAAAGTAGGTTTTCCAAATGCACATTAAAAAATTGACAAATTAGTTTATCTGGTTTTACTTGCTTACATTTGTGTAAGTATGTATGTATGTATGTATGTATGTATGTATGAGAAGTTTGATTCACAGAAAAGTTTTGCATATTATTGCTTATGTACTTGCCATAATTCTGAGACTATAATAAGCAAATATACATTCTAAATTGAAATAATGAACATTTTCCAATAGTTAAATACAAAAGAAAACAAAATTTAAATTGACAATAAATAGGAAACTTTTTGTGTTTGAATGACGATACTTGTATATCAAGTACTGTACAGTCGACCCCCCTATAAGATCATTGATTTTTCTGTTTTATCTGAATTACATGTTGTACGAGTCACTTAGATTTTACAAATATGTGAGCCGTTCACAGCCCGGCACACGTATTTGTAAAATCTAAGTGACTCGTACAACATGTAATTCAGATAAAACGGAAAAATCAATGATCTTATAGGGGGTCGACTGTACATGTATATTGTGGCATGGCACCAAGTTAAGAGCAGTGGCACTTGAATTGGAAAAAATAACCTGTTAATTACATATAAAAAGCATTAATTTACATATATGATACAGACCAGAAATTTTGTCCATTAAATTGAGGTTTTACTATATTAAAATTTAGTAAATAATAATGTCAGGAGGGTTTAAAACAAAATCAAGAAGTTTTGTTATATGGGCACTAAAGGGCTGTTTTCATGCTTGTTGGGCTCTGAATAGAATGAACTACATAGATAAAGGATGATACTCTTACACCTAAATCAGACTACTATTAAAAAATATGAGCATCTAATGTAGACTTTAGTTAATGTTCTGAAGTATGTAGATCACATGGCTGTGTGCTGTTCTTCAGAATATATCTCAGCCAACCAAATACAGTAAAACCTGTGCATGTGTTATTAATAACAGAGGTATATGTCAAAGGCAAAAGATTAAACAAGTATTGAATTAAAAAGACTAATATGAAAACAGAAATCAAATCAATATTTATTTTAGGCAATAATATTAAGTATGCAAGTTGCTTCAAAGACACAATTTAGCTCTAATGACATGCTGATATACAATCAAAAAGCGTCTAATATCAAAGTGAAATACATTAAATCAAAATTTGTTGTAAGATTTAACGTACATAGTAATTTTTAAATACTTGGCTGGCAGTTTAGGAACCAAAAGATATCTGCTATTTTTTTTAATTGATCACTCAAAGTCTTTCATGAGATAGTCAACAGGACTAGTCACAAGGTCCTGACTACACTTCAATATAAATATTTTCAGTGTATAAGTATAAGAAATATTACTCTACGTACATCATATTGAAAGTTGTTTGACAGGCTAGAACAAGAAAATGGTCATTGCTTCAAAATGTGACCTACATTTTTTTGTTCCAAACTGCTTAAAGCAAAGTTTATAGAGTCCTGTGTAATTCTAGCTTTCACAATTCTGGTATACATGACTATTTTCTAGAATTTTTAGTGAAATACATTAAATCAAAATTTGTTGTAAGATTTAACGTACATAGTAATTTTTAAATACTTGGCTGGCAGTTTAGGAACCAAAAGATATCTGCTATTTTTTTTAATTGATCACTCAAAGTCTTTCATGAGATAGTCAACAGGACTAGNTGTTTTAAGGCAGCAGTAATCAACCTTTCTGACTTTACAGACAACTAAACTCACAATTTTCAATCCTGCAGACCACTATCATGAATTTTTTAAAGATACAAAAATCTACAGACAAATGATCGTAAAAGTTCCATTTTACTTTATTAATATGAAATTCACTTATTTAATTATAACGAATTAGTGTGAAGTTTGTTGCTGCTTGTTTGAAATAAGTTAATGGATTCTTCCCTCCAATAACATCAATGCAACACAGAGAGCCGATTGTATTTCAAGCAGACAGCAGTATTTGTTTTCGTTGCTGTAACAGATGAGAATGTCTTTTCACACAAATAGGTTGTTGCAAATGGAATTAAAATTATGACGACTTTTTCACTGAGCATTGGGTACTCACTTTTTATGTGAGTAGCCAGTCATCGAGACATCAAAAATGATGTCTTGATGAGGACAAGTGGAATTCAGTCTGCACCGAGTTATCTCTTCAGACTTTACTGGAATGAGTCTCGTGATTAGTTCTTGACTCTGTCCCCTTGGTTCTCTAGGCTCTCTCTCTGTCGATGTTGACTAACTTGCGTTCCAGAGGAGTCATCCACAACTTGCCTTCTCGGTGTCCAACCCAAAAGTGGTCATCTTTCTCACCCTTTGTCTTAGAAAAAAAACCCACGGGCAGGGCCCTCCCTGTCCCTTCCTAATATAGCAATAAAAATTGCTAGATTAATGTCATGACAAGTATATTTCCATTGAAAATTTGTACTTCTACTTTTTTAATTACATATCACAAATAATATTGTATCATTATTAATTTTTTAAATTAGTGAGATTAGCTCAAATTATAGTTTTAACTTTTAAATCAAGCAATAAGCGCAATACAGTTTCAATGAATCATACTTATTAAAAATTTAAGTAATCACACTTATCTTCATTTTGCTTATAAATTATATTAAGTTTATGAACAGTGTGAAGAGTCTTCACATCTTTTTCTAGGATTTCAACCTCTTCTAACGACATCTTATCACAATGAGATATATCTAAATATCTAATATTCAAAGCATATTTATTTATATTCCTTAATGTTTCATCAGTAATGAGTTTACATCCCTGAATGTCCAGATATTTTATTCTTGGTAAATATTTTATTGAATTGGAGATACCAAAATCAGTTATCTGTAAAATAAAATATGGCTTCTGATTACAAAACTCTGCACATTGAAGGATATGTGTGGAACATTTTAACAAGGGTAGAAGAGAATATAGTAGTAAAGGCCATAAGTTAGAAAGGTTTGAGGTAGGACAAAAGGTGTGGTTGAGAAAAGGGGGCATGAAGAAGAGTAAATTTGCTGAGANAAAAGACTTTTCTAAGTAATATATAAATATGTATTCAATAATTTTTACTTTTCTGGCTGTTATATATAACAGAGGAAAAGTGTAGTGCTTGGTCAAAAAACTGACCCCTCCCAAATTTTTACATTTTTGGACTCAGAACATCTTGAAATTTCGAGATATGCAAAAGATTCGAGGTTTTTTCTATATGTGTGGATGTTAGACTGTGTGTGGGGAGGCATGATTTTGTTCACCCTGTTCAAAGCCTAATAATTTCTGTGGTTAGAGTGGTCAGAATTGGAGTCAGATGGTTTAACATAGGAGTTAGTTATTTAAGTCAAAGTGGTTGAACTAAATCATGTCCCCATATACATTCTAACATCTTAAGCGAGAACATCTTAACGGGTTTTACTGTACTATTATAAAATGGCAAAAAAGCTTACTTTGAGGGTAAAGACGAGTTTTATTTTATTTTTTTTAATTTTGAACGCTAATAACGAGTAAAATATTCATTAAGATATATGATTAAGAGATATGACACATGACCACTTTTATGTCTTCACCCTGGCGACCTTTAATTAAGAACCAAAATTTAATAATATTAATGCCCCTTTATACGCAAGTTACAGTGCCACATTTCGTTTCTTAAACTTTACCCATTGTTTAATATCTCAAAACATAAAATAAAGAAATTAAACAAATTAGACACCAACACATAAGCATGCATGAATTTTTTCCCTTTACTGACTTTTTTGGGGGGTTTGAGAGGTCTCCAAACGTGTAGATTTGCAAAAAAAAACTTGGAGGGTCAAATTTGACACGATTCCAATACTTTTCCGTTTTATATACATAACAAGTTGGTAATTAAAAAGGAGTCGGAGTTGGCGGATTTTTTGACAACTCCGACTCCGGCTTAAACACCAAAACTCCACGACTCCAACTCCACAGCCCTGGTACTTTGTTTAAAAAAAAAATTATTGATTTCAAGTGCAACATTTTTAAAATTGAATAGAACAACTGATTTCAATGTAAAAGAAATAGAAGTTAATAATATAATAAAAAATGTCTGTCTGTCATCTATCCATTAGAAAAACGAATGTTTTTTTATTCTAAAACTGAAACTGTCAGCATTACATCAAAAAACTATGATTATATGTTTAATTTCTTCATTTTGTCTTCTTTCTAATGACATAAAATATGTGATTATTTTAATAAAATTTAAAGAATGTTTTTAATTAATTAGTCACACTATTGAAAGAACTGCTGTAGCCTTATATCTAAGTGATTTACATAAAATGTAACCTTGAAAAACAATACAAAGTATGTAATGATCAAGTAAAACTTAAAGGATATTACCAAACTACTTCCTTTTACATACAAACAGTGAATGTTAATGTTTTTTTTTTATTTTGTTAAATATTTTAAAATTAAAATGTTAAAATTATTCTTAAAAAAAGAAATTATATTAAATACTTTTGGAAACTGTAGTTCTTGTTGTTTAAGCTTGTTTTATTGAGTTATTAGAGAGGTTGCGGCCGATGTTTTCAATGCAAAAACGTGTACATCAGATGTTTAGCGCCGCTTTCCTAAAGGCCTAGAAGTTTGGCAATAGTGTTTGGAATGTCGAGCATGATTCCACTGACTATCCTAAAGGCCTAGAAGTTTGGCAATGGTGTTTGGAACGTTGAGCATGATTCCACTGACTATCCAAACACCATTGTCAAACTTCTAGGTTTATAGGAAAACAGCACTGAATGTCCAATGTACACGTTTTCGCATTTAAAACGTCGGCCGCAACCTCTCTATTACTTTCACAAATTATTACAAATTATTTTATAAAAGCAAATTAATAATGATTTTTATAAAATTATTACTTACCTTAGAACACTGACTTAAAATGAAGGTTTCTAAGCTTGGATTGTTCTTTCCAATAGAAATAAGTCCTTCATCAGTTATATTTTGGCATAAACTTAGATTTAAATAATTTAATTCTAAAAATAAAATTCCAAATTTAAGAGTTTGATCTGTAATTTTTATACATCCACATATATCTAACTCTCTCAATCCTTTAACACTTGTCAAAGAAGAATGTTCAGTTTCAATAAGAGAATACTGATTTAATTTATCTATTGTGGATAAATTATTAGATGATGTACAATTTATATTTTTATCATATTCACCAGTTTCATTTGTAACTTTTATATTAGCAAGACTATTATCTGTTATATCTCTACACCATGCTAATCTCAATGTTCGCAATTTTAATAAATATTTTGCAATAGCATTTACAGTTAAATCTGTAATGTTAAAACATGATGTAAGATCTAGATGCAAAAGATTAGGCATGTGTTTCACAAATATGAGAGTAATGTCATCAGTAATATTACAATAACTGAGATTAAGATGTTCTAAATACAAGAATGATTCTGTACACAGAGCTTCCTTAAAGCCAAATGGTGTAATTTTTTCACATGATGAAAGATCAAGTCTCTTTAATTTATTTAATCTTGAAATTGCACTTACACTTCTATCTGTCAAATTATGACACCGACGCAAACTAAGATCTTGAAGTTCCAAAAGTTTTTCACATATTGCCGAAACAGATTCATCAGCTATTTGGTAAGTCATGCTAAGATCAAGAACTTTTAATTGAGACTGATATTCACATAATGCCTTAATACCAAATTTAGAAAGCTGTTCACAAGAAACTAAATATAATTCTTTCAAACTTAACCCACATTCTTTTACTAAAATTGTTAATGCTCGACTATCAATCAAAGTCCTTCCAAAATTCAAACTATTTAAAGTTTTATTCATTGTTTTAATGAATGTTAAAATGTTTTGGAAAGTAAGTACTGACCCAGAAGGGACTTTATCTTCTTCTTTTGGATAAAATCTTTTATAAATACCTGGATGAAAGGATATTTGACAACCAGCAACAGATAATTTTTTTAATCTTGGAACTAATTTCATTATTCTGTTAAAAGTGGCATCACACAAATATCTATTACATCCTAAATTTAATTCAGTAATATTTTGTAATTTTGTCTCTAACAGTGAGAGATCACTAAGTCTTTCTAATAGAATTCCTGATATAAAAAGACCATTACAACCATTGATTCCTAAATATTGTAATGACATACATTCAGATAAAATATCAACAAACAATCTTTCAGATATATCACAACTATGAAAATCTAAGTGTTGAATTGTTGGTCCAATACTTTCCCAAAATTCAAGTGAATTGGAAGTTAGATCAATTTCTTTCAATACAAGATGATTAAAAACACAATGACTATTTTTTAAAATTTTCATACTTGATGTTGCATTGTCATGAAGAACTATAGCAACTTTCTGCCACAGACGTTGATCTAAAGTTGCAAAATACCATTGTTTACAAACTTGGCTTGCACAAATTCGATCTGATAGGTGAAGATATTCAAATATATTGACAAGAATCTGCAAATAAATATTACATATTAATAACTTTAAATGAAAAGTAAAAAGTTTTTAATAAATTATTTTTAATTATCAAACACATGTAAAAATAATCTAATATGAACTTTGCACTTTGATAGTTGTTCATAAAGAATAAATATATCAAAATGTAGAAAAAAATCAAACAAATATATTATGCTACCAAATAATATTGATACTACAAAAACTAAACCAATAACATTAGATATAAATATCTTTTCACTACTTCAAAAACTGCACTTGTAATACTACTAATAATGTTACACAAACACCTTAACGCTAAGCTCTGAAATTTTCTTCTTTCTAGATACTGTAACTGGAGACTACATTGTTTTTACCCTTCAGGTTACCAGGGAAATTTGTGTAGAAAAACAAATCAAACAACTTTTCCATAAGCTGATTTTGTTTCTAATGGATTAAGCCGATTTTGGCCAGTTTTGTGTTTAGAGAGTTAATGTATAATTAAAAATACACTGGTGTGTAAATACGTATGCCACTAAATTGATGAGCACTTTCGACGATACACACTTTCGTCTTCTTCGGGTCATTAAAACATTGCAACAACAAAAATCTTGTATATATCTGGGAAGCCCTCATCACCAACGTATTAAAGCCCTGCAACACCCTCACACTGGATTTGCCCCCTTTGTGGATCAGTTTGTACAGCTATATAAAACATCGTAACTAAATCCACAATATAGAGGTGTCTAACGCATGCGCAGTATAAACGCGCGTGTTTTTATTTAAATATCTTCTTATATTCTACTGTTGCTGTTATTCCAAAATGTTAATTAAGATTGGAATGTTTTAAATTTTGTATTCAAAAAAGGATCTTATATCTTCTAATGACCTGAAGAAGACGAAAGTGTGTATCGTCGAAAGCGCTCGTCAATTTAGTGACATACATATTTAATTTAACGCTTCTATGGTAAAAGTTTTTGTAACAAATGATTAGCGTGCTGTCTATCACTATATTATGGATATTTTCCTGGTGTGTAAAACTTAAGCAACAATTGTTTTTTTACCATAACTCCACAAGAAATCATTTGGAGACATAGACATGAAATTCAGAATACAGAGACAGTATTTTGTACTTAAAGGATGAAGAAAGTATACTAGCGCAAAAATGAATAGAATGCATACAGTATGGAATCAAAACCTCCTTCTTATTGTAGTCTCGCACGGTGTGCACTTACTGCACACGTCACCTGTGATGTCTTCTTCCTGAATACGAACCACCTTTCTACTGAGTTGGGTGTTCATTAGTACTGATTGCAACAAGCCTTTCTCTACAATTTCATGGATGTCTGCTTAAAAATTACATTGTTGTTTAAGTTTTGCATACCAGTGTAAAATTCATTTAACATTTTCAGTTGTTTTTAAATGACCACCTTCACAGAATAAAAATACATTGTAAATAGAATAAACAGTCATCAGTACAGAACTTATTAATTCAATTTGAAAGTTAATTCATTAGAACATAATTTCATAAATTCAAATGCTTGTGTTGAATGTCCATTTGTCTGGTATGTATATACAAATCATAAAATAACTAGCAAAAAATTACAATAAGATAAAAACAAAATATTACAGGGATAATATAAATAAATAAATAAATTATATACAACTAAATATACACAAATAAATAAATAAATCTTATATTCTTCCATATCACATTAGTAATGCTTTTCATGCTCCCAATAATTCATTATAGTATCTGCAATTTATTACTTGCCCCTTTAGAGTTGCTTTGTAAATTTGCCAAGCTTTGGAATGTTTTAACTGCCTCCTCTGTACCATTTTAGCTTGGTTTCAAGCCACCAAGATGGAAGTGGGATCAGCAAGCACATGAAAGTGTTGTATTAGAATAAGGCAAGAATTATGTTACATCAAAGCTAATAATATATCACTAGCAGCAAGAATTAAAGAGCATGAAGCTAACTCTAATATGGACTCTATGTAGATAACAAGATATAGATTTCTGCAGATAGGATTACATCCTATCTTACCTGTATATTCAAGAAATATTGGTATATCCAACTGAACAAATTTCAACTTCAGTACATAGGTTGCTATGCATTGACAGAGAATGTTATTCCACACAAGAATGTGAGACTTTGGACAATGGTCTGAACCCCCTCACTGAATGTGTTTTAAGGCAGCAGTAATCAACCTTTCTGACTTTACAGACAACTAAACTCACAATTTTCAATCCTGCAGACCACTATCATGAATTTTTTAAAGATACAAAAATCTACAGACAAATGATCGTAAAAGTTCCATTTTACTTTATTAATATGAAATTCACTTATTTAATTATAACGAATTAGTGTGAAGTTTGTTGCTGCTTGTTTGAAATAAGTTAATGGATTCTTCCCTCCAATAACATCAATGCAACACAGAGAGCCGATTGTATTTCAAGCAGACAGCAGTATTTGTTTTCGTTGCTGTAACAGATGAGAATGTCTTTTCACACAAATAGGTTGTTGCAAATGGAATTAAAATTATGACGACTTTTTCACTGAGCATTGGGTACTCACTTTTTATGTGAGTAGCCAGTCATCGAGACATCAAAAATGATGTCTTGATGAGGACAAGTGGAATTCAGTCTGCACCGAGGTATCTCTTCAGACTTTACTGGAATGAGTCTCGTGATTAGTTCTTGACTCTGTCCCCTTGGTTCTCTAGGCTCTCTCTCTGTCGATGTTGACTAACTTGCGTTCCAGAGGAGTCATCCACAACTTGCCTTCTCGGTGTCCAACCCAAAAGTGGTCATCTTTCTCACCCTTTGTCTTAGAAAAAAAACCCACGGGCAGGGCCCTCCCTGTCCCTTCCCTGTTGGCAAACCATCAATCAGGACCCACGAATTTCCCGCTCCTGTCAGGTGACAGGAAAGGGTTATTAGCGGAAGGAAGAAGGGGGAAAGGAAAGAATAAAGGAATTCTAAATCTATATACAGTATTTACATAGACAAAAATGGCAGACAGCCACAGTATCATGAAAAATAAACACCAGTATACTGTTGACAGAAAAAAACAATTGACTAGAACCAACAATAAAGCCACTCCAGGCAAAATCAACAATAAATAATGAACATATTTTGGATCAAGTTCACATTCCACGAAGGACAACAGTTGCATTCTGTTATGTATGTAAACCTCCAAGGGGATAATCCACACCAAATTGCCCCTTGACCTAGTTAGGCGACCCTGCACCTCTGACCTTTGTCGTGTTCCTTTGTATCCCATCAATTGTGCATTAGCTGTTGTAACACTTAGACTTAGAGGCACAAAGTTACATTTGTATTATCACCAAGTTATGTTTGTATTATAATAAAGTTAATTATATACGTTAACAAGTAATCATTTATTTTACGAACACAACACATTCACATCATTATTTATTGATTTATTGACATTATTATTTATTGATAACAGTCATTTCATGTTTGGTTTTAGATTCAAATAAAAAAACCCTCAATGAATGAGTAAAAGCAACCAAGCATTTTGCATTTCTTTCATAATATTTCACATAACTGTGAGTTGATCAATGTCCAAATTTCTTTCACAGACCACTGATCATCTGTGAGCAAACCACTGGCTGGCAATTGCTGTTTAAAGGTATTTTTACATGGAGAATGAGAGAGAGAGAGAGAAATACTTTGTATAATAAATAATGAAGGAATGAATAAACAATGTAAGTCCTAAGATCAACCATCACCAGTTGGGATCGGATTAAGTGTAATATTTAATGATCAACCTCTCCTGCAACTTAAATTGGTTGAGTTACACTTGGAAACAGGTAACCTACAATCAAAAAGTGAGGATGAGGAACCAAGACCAATTGGAATTGGTAATTGCAGGTCAGAATAGATACAAACCCATGTCTCATGGACATAAGGTCCTTTCTCAAGATCTGCTTTTTTTCAGAAGTACTATTTATCCTCAAAGATACAAGTTATCCAAAGAGCTCTTTTCCTAAAATCAGATCTTTTGCCAAGTTCTGCTCTTTATGCTGTTTGTTTAGTTCCAACACACTTCTCCAAACAACTTCAAGCTGTGAATTTTGAAAGTCTCAATTTTAACATAGAAAATCCCAATTAACATTCCATCTGTGTATGCACCTCCATTAATAAAGGATTCTGTTGAGAAAAACTAGTCCAGAACTGACAACTTATCAAAGAATGAACATCAATGTGACTGTGGGGATTTCAGACCTTTTTAGAAACTGACCTAGTTGACACAACAAACCCCCAATTTTTGTGTAAGCAATCTTTCATTAATATATGGGTTTATTTTTGTAAATTGGCATCCAATCTGCATACAGAAACACCCACATACATGATTCCTATTTTTTAGCTAACCAACCTATCAGTCTTAAGAATAGAGACTGGCTTTCTAGGTACAGCTATCAGTTGGGGATCTTGATTGCCATGATCGTCACAAGAATGCTCAAAGATCTACAAAATTCTTTTAAAATTAGGTTCTACAGTATCTAATTTTGTGAACATTGGGGCCACTTACAAAATGTTCACAAACAGGTTGAACATCAAGACTATATCTATCATACTACATAGATGCATTACAAAACTAGTTAGGGAGTATTGGTACATGGTTTTGAGTCATTGTGAGAAGAGATCAGATTAATTCAACACTGTATGGATCACAACTTATTTAGGAGTCAATACACATCCTTACTAATAACAAATGTAACTGGCAAATATTTGAATTGCCTTACTTATGTTTAGTTTTTAAAACAACAAAGAAAAATAGTAACATATGTGCCTGATGCAATCCCCTACCTATTGTGTTGCATTTCACACTTATTTAATTGTGTCACATCTCTCATAACTTGAAAAAAACAAAGTTTGTTTTTATTTTATGTATATTTTTTAATTAATTTGTTCAATAATTATGTTTATGTATTTATATTTTAAATTAATTATTTAGTTTATGTTCTACATTTCAGTCAAATTTTCTTTA